CCCCAGAACTCCCAATTGCCAATTGCCTTACCTTGGGATCAGTTTCAATTTCAAAGTAGTTATCACAAAGATGGCATTTCATGCGAAATCTGTAAATTGGAGTTGAGTAGTAGTTGCCCACTTTCTTYTTCTCTGCATTGTAACGCACTCCTGCATGCAAAAGTAAATATGAACTTTTTAAGCAAATAACCAGTTACAATTAAAGCAAAATATTCCTATAGGCAGTGGGATAATATATATATTCAATAATTTAGTATTTAGTAAAGAAAAATTGACTAGTAGGAACCCTCCATCTCTGCAGTTTCTACAGACCTTTATCACGCATAAGCCATGCATGTTTTTATCCCCATGAGAATTGATTAAAAGCCTTTAGTTTGTTTCTACCAATTCAAACTCATCGTAAAGTGCTTGAATGCAAAGCTAGCCAGGCAAAAATCTATTGTTTCAGCTGACATGCCTTGTGCATGAGAAAGGTCTTTTAGATACTGTGATTATCAAATAAATATATTATGTATATCAAACTAGTTCTCTATTCATAAAAACATGATTGTCTTGTACCAACCCATTCCAACATGGCTGCCACATCCTCCACACCAGATATTATAGGGCAACTCAAACCTAAAGAGCAAAATAACATGCAATGAAACATGTTAGTCATGTTAGTCGGGAAGCATGGGTGGTCTAAAGGTGAGTGTGCTAGCCTCTCACCAATGTGACCCTGGTTGGAGTCACCACGAGCTCAGTGTTGTATATGAGTAGARTTGTTTGTTGGTTCTCTCCTGTRCTTCGAGGGTTTTCCAGGTTCTCCGGTTTTCCTCCCTCTGCAAAAACCAACTACTAAATTCTAATTTGATCCTAGGAGATATACACRATAGGGCTAACCTCAATATCTCGTTTCACACATACTGATGTGAATAAATTAGTGTGTCAACCATTAAAGCCTGGCTGATATGTGTTCTATATGTACTGAATATGAACATTTAACAATAAAATACATTTTCTGTTTATATAGCTTGATATAATTAAGGGGAAGTTAGAAAAATTCTCAATAGTTATACAAACCTGAGACTACTATTAGTATTTTTTATCTAATTTCATAAATTATTGCATGCACAAGGATAATCTCAATTACCACTACAGTAGTAAAATAATTATTGTGAAACTTGCATTATAATATTCTGTTACGATTGAGTAAAATGTCTTTAGTTATTCAAGAAGCTCTTATATTCTATATTCTTTATATGATACTTATATTTATTGATGTTGCTTTAATGTTGCAATACATGAATAATTACACATTTATTGGCTGTATATACCTGATAACAAGAATGCCTTGACCCAGCTTCTTGGCTCTTTCTCTCAAGGGATGTTGTCCAACATATTTGTTTATCGAACCCTTTAATACAAAATGAAATGGCTGGCTATTATATCCAAACTTTGTTAGTTAAATATGGTAGATTGAACAGTTTTTTCTGTGCTCTGTTCAGTAATACAAAATAATAAATGTAAATGATCTAAATAATGGCCGGTCGGTCAATGGCATTATGAGCAGCAAATTAGTTTTAACTCAGTTAATCCTCATTTCTAGCTCAATYAAATGATTGGCAAGGCAAAGATTCCACTGGATGGATTCTTAGTCCTAGATAGAAATTACCCAATAACTGGTGGTTATAATCTTAAGCTCTGTGACCTAAGTATGAAGGGTGAAGAGAAGCATGCATTGAAGGCAAGTGCTTTCATACTTTTTGATCGGTGCTTTTGGTATTTTCTAAGTGTTTTTTTATTAAATGGAGCATTATTGCATTTTCCTTTAACTTCTTTGCTAAGTTTGCTGCACACATATGCATGGCATCAGCAAGCATTCTATGTTCAAGAATAAATAACATTTTTTGACCAATCAGAGCATGTGTACAACATAAGCTAACACAAAAATCAGCATCACAGCAAGTCAGCTGTAAGTGCAGAGAGCAGCAAATGTTGTGGATAAATACACTACATTTCATTTGTGTTGTGTGTTACATGCAGAGCATGGAAAACGTTTATACGAAAAATATGTCCAAGTTTTCAAAGCAGTTTTTTTCCACTTCTTAGAGTTCAAACCATACATGTATATCTGTGAAATAGCACAAAAACTAAAAAGCACTAAACACATCTATGCCTTTTGTTTTCAATTGTTTCATTGGCGCTATTTGGTACAAATTACAGTACTATTTCAGGGATATATGGTTTGCACACTAGCAAATCCAGCTACACATATACAGATGGCATCAGCACTGGCTATTTAAGTACATGTACTTTCCAATGATTTTACCTCCAATTTAGGGATTTAGTGAAGCCAGGAGTCAAATAAACTAAGAAAATACTGACTATTAAGGAAATGAAGATTCAAGTTTTAAATTCTTTACATTATAGCCTGATGCCAGAAATTTCCCAAGATAAAAAAAGCTTATAAAATAAATATAAAATACTAAACTTTCCATACAAAAATATACCTTGTCTGGGGTCCAGTCTGGAGGRTAATACTTGTTCACTGCCTTCCTCTCGGCCTAAATAACACATGAAATAAAAAATCGAAGCTYATATAGCTATAGATTTTGCTTAAAGCAATAAAAAGCAAATAAGAGTATAAAAATCAAAACTCACCATTTTGTCTTGTTTACTTCGTGTTTGAGCCTGCTGAGCCTTCTATATTTTGGACAGCGGCCATACCACAGGAAGCCCAGTCTTTAGTAGAGTCCCAATGTTGAATGGTTGTTATCTAGAAAGGCTTCACACAATGTCCTTTTTAGGTTTTACCTTATTTCTGATCGTTTCTTATTCTTATTAGTTTTCAACCCAATCTGCGCCCCTCCCCGGATCCGCTACTCATTCATCGATTCAGTATCATATAAAATGACTCATTATAAATGATTTCTGTGCTATCAAGATGGCGATCGACGGAAGGAGAGCGTTTTGGCTGAGTTTTGGAGTTTTGTCTGGTATTGGGGTGACATACTGTGTGTCTGAGTTGAGGAAGTTGCTGAGAGAAAGATGTACAAGACGACCTCTTTCTCTTCTTGAAGATGCGATCCAGTTAGAAGATCTCGCTACTTTAGCTCGATCGCCTAACTTGTCTCTCAAACGCAGCGCCGAGCAGTTGATTCTAGACCGAGCTATGAAGGACAAGAACTTGGAATTCATTATGAATGCTTGCTTTAGTTCAGATGAAGTACAAGTCTTGAAAGGAATAATTGTCATCGGGGTACTCGTCAAAAGTACTGATTTTAGGAATAAACTACTTCAGTTTGATGTACTAGAAACGTTAGCTTGTTGTCTTGATCACTCGATAGAACCAGGCTATAAGATGTTAGCAGAAACTGGAGGCAGACATGTTAAACTACAGAGAGTCATATCGTCATCTCTATTCGACTTGCTCCGTGATGATGATACCCTCAAGATTCGACTGGGTAACGCTAGCTCGAAGATTGTTTCATCAGTTCTGCATCTGATGTTCGCTTCTCCAAGTAAAGAAGTGATGAAATGGTGTATATTTGTCACGCATCAGTTAGCTCTCAGTGACACGGTCCGCCCTCAGCTGTTAGCAAATGATGGTGTTAGTATAGTTTCTCAAGTGATGGTTAGGAATCAAGGAGATAACGTCTTGATGACGCTCTGCCTACAGACCTTAGTCATGTGTGCTAATGTTACTGAAGAAGGAGAGATACAGGCTTTGCACGAAATGGCCAGCCATAACATTATACAGCCAACTGTAGCATGCTTAAAAGCAGGTATAGTTTGTTTTAGTTTATAATACACTCTACAACATTACTTGATTCTGACTGAACAAGAGGAATACAATTAAATCCCAAATTGTACTCAGTAGAGCCCCAATTTTTGCTCAATTTTTTTGAGTGTGTTATAAACAAAAACTCGCACAATCTTCTTGTACAATTTACTTGATTCTGACTGAACAAGAGGAATACAATTAAATCCCAAATTGTACTCTGTAGAGCCCCAATTTTTGCTCAATTTTTTTGAGTGTGTTATAAACAAAAACTCGCACAATCTTCTTGTACAATTTACTTGATTCTGACTGAACAAGAGGAATACAATTAAATCCCAAATTGTACTCTGTAGAGTCCCAATTTTTGCTCAATTTTTTTGAGTGTGTTATAAACAAAAACTTGCACAATCTTCTTGTACAATTCAGAATTTTTAGACACTCATGACGTTTTGAAAGTTCTCAAATTGAACTCGCCTAAAGGCTCAACCAATTTGAAAACTTTCAAAAAATCACTTGTACCTATAAATTCTGAAATGTAGATGAGGTCATGCGATTTCCTATACAAATTGACCGAAAATAAACCCTCATTCTAACCTTGTCAAACCAAGTGTTGCCATCCTTGTCAAAGGGAGGGTACGTATACATAATGGTCAGAATGGAAACTTCTGAACTCCTGTCAAATCTTAATTGCTTTGTTCATGTTGACCAGTAACATATAGTACCTAGTTGATGATTACAGTGCAAATAGAAACACCATGGGCATCTAGAAATATTGTAGGAATGTTATATTCTTCTTTGGCCAATCAGAATTGACTTTCTAGCCAAAAGATAACGAAAAGATAACAATAGCGCTTAGTGATTGGCTATTGAACATTCTTGAAATATTTCTAGGTGCCCACAATTGTTTGATTTGCACTGCAAGCTAAAACTAATTTGGCTGGTCATCATGAGTGATGGTGACTGACCAGCTGCTATTTTTGGCCCTCAACTCAGAACCTGATGTTTACTTCAAGCCAAAAAAGTTTTTATTCAGAATAATTTAATGTGCTGTCAGTACATTAAATTGGGTTTGTTTGGGTTATAAAGTACATATTAAATAGTACATTTATTTTTAGCTTTATTTTGTGTTGTAACCTAGTGTATCATTGCCAATTTTTAAAATTTAAATTTCAGATGACAATGATTTGGTCTACTGGGCAACAGCCTTGATTCATGAGTACTCTGTCAAAGACCTTTACAAATCACAAATCTGTGCYGTACCAAACATTGTCAAGCTACTTCAATCTGTGCTGTCTACCAGTGAGGCCATTCTACAAAGAATTGTCCTTCGTGTTATCAGTTTTCTTTGTGTTGGGAACCAAGAGTTCAGGAATAAAGTTCTGCAGTGTAATTCTCTTCTTGCTCGCTTGACTGTGTGTTTTGCTTCTGGTGATCATGATGTTGTTCACTGGGCTGTGGTTCTTCTTCATGATCTTCTGCTTTCATCAGGTATGAATGGAAAAAAATAGAAGCTTTGCACCTGAGACAGCCATGACAGTAGGCATAACTTACAATTAAATCCGAATTCTTTCTCATGCAAACCAAATAGGCCCTTTGCAGAACAGGTCACATGTATGTACTGGTGAGCAAATTTTTTGTTTTTATTTTAAATTGGTGATTCTGTATAGCTACAAAGAACTGAATGAAACAATGTGTAACCAGTGTGATATGAAATGCAGTTTTATTACGATCTCTCAAAACAGGTTGTAGAAGGTTTGTTTGCTCACCAGTATATTTCACCCATGGGAATCAAGATGTCCATTTATTTGCTCTTAGTGAATTAATAAGCACGTGATTACTGAGCTGCAAAGGGCCTATTAGACCAGATTCAACTCCTGTCTTCTTTCATGCCTGCCATGACGTAAAGGTGCAAAGCATCTAATATATATGAAGGTTAATACAGGATATGCGTTACAGTATAGCCTTCATTCTTAGCAGGCGATTCTGTTTGGGATTATTTGGTAATGACTGGGAGACCTATGATAAGATTTTCATTCGGGTCTTGGACCAACAAAAGAAAGAAATGTAAAAAGGGGATATGGGATGGAAGGAGAAAAAGGGAGAACTAATTGTGCTTCCTCTCCATACTCCTGAGATATTCCATTGCTTACTTTTCTTTCATACTAGTCTTTATTGCTCATTGACACCAGGCCATAGCACCAACAGCGGCCTGGGGGGGGGGGGGGGGGCCCATGTCCCCCCCGCCTCCCCCAGAAAAGTCACCCTACTATGTAATTGTTAGAATTGCTCTATTTCATAAATTTGACGTCACGGTTTGTTTACATCAGCTAAAAAGATAGAAATTTAGGCTAAATTTAAGCTTAATTCTCTTCTTTTGAGATATTTAGTGTAATAATTAGTTGTTCTTGTCTTCACCAGCTCATAAACCAAATTTCATTGT